AATTAAATGGCTGTGCCCCGTATAGCAGCTAGAAAGTGTGAGAGTGTCCCACAACTTAACGGGTGTATCTGTTGTTTCTCCCCCTTTTCTCCAGATTGTCCGAGCCCTGGAGCATCTCCACAGTAAACTGTCAGTGATTCACAGAGGTAAGGTTCAAATTGCAGATCCCATCAGGTTGACAGAGAAAGCAGCTGAGGGTTAATGACACAGGTGAGGCCCAGTTAAATTGCAGGCCGTCCTCCTTTAGGGACCGGAAGCGGGACTGGCAACTCCGCCACTAAGTGAAACAGTTTCCTAAGTGGGGGGATGACATCACGGCGACGGTGTTTTCCTTCCAGATGAGTACAGATGGTCCTCAACATACAGCAGTTTGTGATCCCAAGGCCGTTTTTGTCTTCCCTGCTTACAGATGTGAAGCCGTCCAACGTCTTGATCAACAAACAGGGACATGTGAAAATGTGTGATTTTGGAATCAGCGGGTACTTGGTGGATTCGGTGGCTAAAACGTTGGATGCCGGCTGCAAACCTTACATGGCTGTGAGTGGGGTGGGGTGGGGTGGGGACCTCCATTGTGAGGACACACGCATGTGAGTTTGGGGGAGAACCTCTAGTCCGTTTCCCTCTTTCCTTCTTTCCTCTGATTTTAATTTGCTTTTATTTTATTTTTCCACGTGCAGCCAGAAAGAATTAATCCGGAGCTAAACCAGAAGGGGTATAATGTCAAATCAGACGTTTGGAGTCTTGGGATCACTTTGGTAAGGAATCAAGGCGACCTTGGGGACTGGCAAGGCAGAAAGCATAAGGCAGTGATGGCGAACCTTTTAGAGACCGAGTGCCCAAACTGCAACCCAAAACCCACTTATGCATCGTCGGGTGCCGGGTGGGTGTGGCCCATTGGGTGGGCGTGGCCGTGGTGGTAACGGCAGACTGGGCGGGACTAAAAAGTTCAATCAATCAATTCCAACTTTGCAAGATCTTTTTTTTCCCCCCGCGAGAAGTTGAAATTGATTGATTGATTGAACCTTTTTTTTTTGCACATGGTGGCAGAGGCCTAAAGCGAAAAGGTTTTATAAAACCCAGCTGAAGGCCTAGGACTGGGGCGACGGCGCGCGTGCCCACAGAGAGGGCTCTGAGTGCCGCCTCTGGCACCCGTGCCATAGGTTCACCACCACTGGCATAAGGACTAGTCGCATGCTGTGCTTTGGAGTTAGTAAGGCTTAGAGATCCGGCAGTGTCAGGAGAGTTTCCTCGGATTGGGTCTCCCTTGTGGGCTTCCCCCCCATCGTCTCCCCGGCAGTCGTAGGGAGCCAGATTGTGGATAAATCCAGTATTTCTAGGGACCTTGGTGCTTTCCGAGCTTGGTGGCTTTCTTGCAGACGTTTCGTGGCCCAACTAGGTAACATCATCAATGCTAGGAGGGAGGGGGGCTCGCTCTCTAAGCAAGCTTGTAGCGATGATGATGTTCCCTAGTTGGGTCATGAAACGTCTGCAAGAAAACAACCCAGCTCAGAGGTACTAAGGACCTCACAGTCATTATCGTCCCCCTCCTCCTCCTCCCCCTCCTCCTGTCTATAAACCCCACTCCCTTCTAGCACTGATGATGTTCCCTAGTTGGGTCATGAAACGTCTGCAAGAAAACAACCAAGCTCAGAGGGCACCAGGGATCCCTCAGTCTTTCTCCTCCTCTTTTTCCTCTTTTTTCTCCTCCTCCTCTGCCTCCTCTTCCCCTCCTCCTTCTTCTCCTTCATTCCACAAATTCCACTCCCTTCTAGCACTGATGTTCCCTAGTTGGGTCATGAAACGTCTGCAAGAAAACAAGCTCAGAGGGCACCAGGGATCCCTCAGTCTTTCTCCTCCTCTTTCTTCTCCTCTTTCTCCTCCTCCTTTTCCCCTCCTCCTTCTTCTCCTTCATTCCACAAATTCCACTCCCTTCTAGCACTGATGATGTTCCCTAGTTGG